CTTTTGCACATTGTGTGTAATCGTTCATTGTAGTTATTTTAATCAAATATTATCTACGCCTTATTCTTGTTTGATTTAGAGTGATATCATCGTTCAACGTTCATTCTTGACCACACGCGCATAATTATTTGTGAATCTGTTACATTAGGTGCTTTAAATTTGTGTGGCGATTATCTTCAATATACGAAAAAATCAAGGGATAATTTTAGTGGGGTAAAATGAAAATTTGAATTCATCCATAAGAAATATCTGAAATTTTTTCGACTCTATTCAAAAATGACTTACGATTATGTAGGAGGATCATTACATTCTGATGTGTTTGTTGTATGTTCTCATTTTTCCTCAATTAGCTGCCTTTAAAATTGAAATTTTTAAAAGTAGAAATTTTTATTGGAAATTGATAAAATTATTTTCTATAAGTAGATATTTTTCAATTTATTGAATTGTTTACATGGACTGAACTCTTTTTGCTTCTTTTTTTTGTTATATTGCGTTTCATAAAAGCTAAGTTTTACTAAATGTTCATATAAATATTTATAAATATTAAATACAGATTAGACAGCAAGATATCTACTCAAAGGTTTGAAAATCTTTATCATCAGCACTCAAGATTCAATTATCTATGCTAAGGATCAGTGTAAAATATCATGAAAGATATTTTGTATTCGCTCACTATTATACAATACGCTTATTAAGGGGGAACCCCCCCTTCGAAAGTCGTTTTTTCCTTGAAAAGTCGATTTTTGGAAAAACACATCTTCTTGTAGCCCCAAGTGTCCTCTTTCAGAATATGTATAAACTATATAGGAATGGAACATATTTTGCCCAATTTTGGCAAGTTTACTGGACGCTATAATGGAAAATCGGCTGTCTTGTTGATTTTCTTTCTTAATTATCGGTAACTAATATCGTTCTACCTTCTTTATTAGCACTCTAAAACCATTACCGTATCGAGTAATCATGTTTTGGATGTTGCAGTCTTATAAGAAAGGTTCAAAATTAGGCTATTTTTCGAAAAGATGGCGCTACAGTGAACTTGGATTCAGAAATTAGCTTAAGAAATCGGCTTATTTTTTTCTTGAAAATACTACCAACTGTAAGAACTTTTTGTGCGCTTTTCAGTGATATATAATATGCTCGAATTCTCTCTGCAAGAAGATCATCAACTACGTCGCAATGTTGTTATTCGTTTTTCTCAGCTTCACTTTTTTATCGTTTTCTGACCATTGCGGAACATTTTCCCAGTTCACCGCTTGATGTACTCTGCTGATTTTTATTTATTTAAAAGATGAGACTTTTTTCTAGAAATTGTCGGAACAGATTTTCAAAATATATCTCCATTGTTTAGATATTTGAAAATCTTTGAAAGTGCTCAAAGCAGTTTTTGCGATTTTCGGTTTAAAATGATTACTACAATTGAACGAAAACGAATTTCAAAAAACTGTTCCTACAATTTCTAGATAAAAGATTTTTCTTCATTTTGAAACAAAGTTCAACATTTTTCATGCTACCGCGCATCGGGAAAATGTTCCGTGCCAAAACCCCCGTTTTCATGAGTAAATTGAGTATAGCTTCTTAATTATCAAAAATGATTGGTTGAAATTTTTATCAGATGCTAGTTACATTAGCTTTTCTATTTCCTGAAATTTTCATCGAAATCTGTTGTATCGTTTAGAAGATAGGTTTCGGAGGGGGGGTTCCCCCTTAATCTATTTTTCTTTTCATCGACTTCATCGAATGTTTTTTTTGTGTTTGTAGAATGTTTCGAAGTGAATTGTTGTGTGAATGATCTATTGTCAGAAGTTGATTCAAAACATTCATTGAACTTCATATTGTTAATCTCACTAATCAATTATGATAGTTAGTTCAAGAAGTCAAATCGTTTCATTCTATTAATTTCATGAATATCTATCTCCTCATAATCATAGTCAAATTTCTATGGGAAATGATAAAAATGGATAATTAGGATTATTGAAGACAATGGAATCATGTTGATTACATCGATATTAGTGAATACTGTATCTGATCGATTACAAATATTCTAGTTTGAATACAAGACTTGTACAACCAGTATCCACTTTTTCACAATGAAACAATCAGTTTAACCTATATAAATAACAATCATGCAAATCAACGACTAATTGTTTTGTACTTTTTTAAAAATCTTTTATATGATTTGAAACCAAAATCAATGATAATCTTGAATGACGGTGATTATCGACCAGTTCACTTTGTTGATATTTGATTTATCTCATTAAATAAATATCAGAAAGCGAAAACGAACCGAACATGAGCTAATTTTCTAAGAGATAGCTGAATACAGCCTAAGTTAAATGAAAACCGATTGATTAAACTATCATCAACGCAAAACAATATGATACCGTCGACAAAGATAAACCAACATTTATTGATTGTTTTACATGCTTAATTTAATCTCCATGTACATCATTCTCTTTTTCTCTTCATAAGTGGACACTAATTTTTGTGTATGATGGTAGCTCACCTCTATGCGGCATAATTCTTTGATTTTATTTTCCATATATCGTTAAAATCGATTTTCAACTAATAACAAATAAATTTACTATAAGCATTAGGGATTTTTTTAATTAGCGAAGCAATTCGATGAAATAATGCATATTGTTTCAATAAACTATTTTTTAATTATAATACCAATATACACGGCAAATACTCTTACTGAATATTGAAACTTGAAATACATGATACTCGTTAGTTTTGTCACTCTTCAAAAAGACATGAACACAGAACAAGAACGATTCACTTAATCATTTTTTAATATTAACAGTACGTCATCACGTATGCTCGTTGTTCTTGAACGATCGTTTCATCAAACAAGATAAGAAACAAAACGTAGAATGATTATATTATTTAAACGCTATTTTATTTTCTATATGTCAGAAGTATAGTTGATGCTGTTCCGAATGGATATGAATCGATACGACTAAAAAGTAATTATTTGAACGATAAGTGGTCGTAGGCGTTCCTACATTATAACGCAAGAGCTGCTCTTGTATAAATCAGAGACTGTATCTTCAATATTAAATACGTTTTAATCCGATCATTTTGTCGATCAATTTTGAACGTTTTGAAATAAAAAATACTATTTCAATCAAGAAGTGATTCATATTTGGTTTCCATGAAATACATTATTTGTTATTTTTATAGCCTTCTACAAACTCTCTCTGTTCCTATTGTATTATCAAATCAATATTTCAATTAGGGTAGTTATAGAAGAGTCTGGTCTTTTGACTAGCAATATGATTTGCAGTATGGCGACTACCATTTGCCGTTACGGTGAACTATAAATCGTCTTAGATGATAAGATGCAATTTTGCAAAGTAGATGATTTAAAACAATCGAAACTGTGGATTGTATATTGTTAAGAAAAAAATAGAGTGCTGAGAACTATATCTGTCGGTTAAAAAGCTTCTTTAGTAGATTTTTAGCAACTCAATTTCTAGACATCATATAAAGGTATAATTTATGTCTCGGAATAGCACAAACATTTCTTTATCGATTGATATCAGTTTGATCGAAAAAGAATTAGCGAATATTGAATGAGAAGCGTTACAATTACAAGGAAGTTAGTTTTTATTCAATCTTTTTATTTTGATTCTGCTGGTCAACATAGGTTTTTTCCTAATTCTTCCATTTCCATGTAAAATTTTTTCTTCTACTCCGAATGAAAAAGAGTAGTCGATTATTCTTATAAAGATATTATCTATCTTTTGCCAATATACTCTCTCGAGATAAATAACGTTTTTCTTCTTTTGTAAAATTTTATTGACTAGTTTCTGTCAAGTTATAACTTGACGTCATCAGAATCTACAAAAAAGGAAACTTTACAGAAAACTCTACAGAAAAAACTCCAGAGAGCCGAAAGGGCCCTGTTAGAGAGGAAAAAATTATAGAGGGCCGAAAGAGCCTCTCTACTGTTGAAAAACAAAATGGAAAAATGTTATACGATGGAAACTGTTGTTCGATTGCCGAAAACGCGATAAGTATACTGTCGTCGTTGTGGCTGTTGAAGACATTCCATTTTATTTTTGTCCAGTGTTGATGGATTGATCGGAAAAGTATGAGTCTTTAAATATGAAGAAAAGATCTGTTCGGTTTCTTTTTTACAAGATAATCTTGCAGGTTATCTAATCTTTTAGAACCAACGATCGGTTTCATATTACAAATGGCTGTATCCGAAAAACAATCGTCCCATAGTTTATGGAAACGAGACGAGAAATCTTGCATTCCTTTACAAAAAATAAAGTTGCACATAATATTAATATTGAAGTCGATTGCAGCCTTCTTTGCATTCTTATTCGAGGTATCTAGAAAGATTCTTCTTACCTTCGAATAGTTTTCTCTTTTGGATCTTTGACATTGAAATGTCTGAAAGACCCTTTCAAATTGTTTAAGAACATAATCTATCGGATATTTGTTCAGTAACAATGACATACAAATAAGGGTCTTCCTCATGCTTAAAAATCTTATAAGTAGAAGAATATCTTATTGCTCGTAGAAGAGCGACAAATGGAATATTCTTTTTTATATGATTTGCATGTATGCTTGTGAAAGGAAGAAAATATGGTTCGTAAGATGGTTTATGAAACACTTTTGATACCAATGTTCCTTCTCTATTTTCTAGGTTCAAGTCTAAGTACTCTGCAGTATGTCCAATGAATTCTGTCAAAACGATATCACTATCGAGTCTGTTCCAGAAGCGCACTAGACCTTTAAGTATATCTACATGTACATTCGACATGATAAATAGATCATAAATATATCTATAATATAATGAACATGTCTTTTTAGCCCATTTTTTAATTGGCTGTTCTACAAAATACATATAGTCATTGGCTATGGTTAAGGTGAGTGGTGAGCCCATTGCACCACCTCTTATTTGTTTATAATATGATCCGTCTAGATAAAAATAGTTATTAGTCATGACAAATCTGGCGAGAGCCAATATGATCTCTTTTTTAACGCTATCGATTTGTTTTAAATTCGATGCTTCTATCAGCTTTTTTTATGACTGCTATTCCTCCTTCCTGTGGAATCATCGTATATAGATCGGCCACATCCATCGTTATAAATGATGTGGCTGGTGTAAGATAGTCAGCAGACCATTTTTCAACTTGTTTAATTAATTGAGTTCCATTTTCGATAGTATTCTCGCTTGCTAATCGATCGAATAGAGGTCTTAGAAGACTATCTAACCATCTCGATATAGCTATAGTAGGCGATTTAAGACCAGACATTATAGGTCTTAGTGGTGTTCCTGGTTTATGTGATTTTGGTAAGAAATAAAGGTGAGCTAATTCAGCTTCTTCTTTATTAACCTTTAATTTCTCATATTGTTTTTGTGTTATATGTTTATTGTACCATAAACCAAAAAGGAACTCATTCGTACGTTCGACCAGAGATTCAAGTAGATTATTGGTACCCAAATCTTGATATGCTTTAGTTTTGATCATATATGCTTGAGCTTTCTCTTTGTAATGATCAAATTTCCCTAAATGGAAAACTTTAGATTTATCAGTCTTTCTAAGAACTGTTTGTGTAGCTTCAATTCTTTTCTTTAAATAATTAATTTCTTTTAATTGAATTGATGAAGGGTATCTATTATAACAATCGGTCAAGATCATTTCAAGCGAATCTATAAAAATTTCTAACCTTTGCTTTGGTAGTACCCATCCATGTTCAACAAAGATTTTATTTATCTTCTTTACGACCAATTCTATCTCGTTTTCTTTTCGTGTATGAGCGAGATGAGGATTATTTGGTACGCATTTAGGGCCTAGTTTTAGGAGGGCCTCTTCTCTCCTATTTAATTTTATATTAGCTTGATTAATTATGCTTGGAGCACGAAATCCTTTCGTAGTACTGGATTCAAATCTCGTGCTTCTCGTATTACGAAGGGCGTCTCTTTGACGCTGCGTTCGGCTAAAAACTGCACTTCTCTTTCAGTTTCTAAAAGAGTTCTTTTTTGTGCAATTTCTATATATTTACTATATAATTGTGAACCAACTTGATGGACCAACTTTTTCCGCCTTGGCGGTAGTGGTCTTTGAGTAAATATTTCTTCTTCTTCATCGTCGTCGTTATTATTATTAATATTTTCCTCATCATCAAAAGGTTCTTCATCATTAACAATTTGTGTTAATGGTAGCACTTCATCACTATCTTGTGGAAAATCTTCAAGAAGTTTTTCTAATCTTTCTTTGTCAAATTCAAATTCTTCTTTGACGATTTTCAGATAGAGTTCTGTTGCTTCAAGACGAAAATCTCTTGATATCTTATGTATGTTCTCTTTATTGTCGTGGACTTGTTCACTTGAAAGTGAATTTTCGTCTACTAGAAGATTAAAAACATCATCTTGTGGTAAGATTTTCGGTATTATATCATATGATGATATGTGTGCAGCAACCAAATCAAAATTTTTCTTTTTCTTTTCATAGGCTTTTAATGCTGGTTTACAGAAGGTTTTAGCATAGATTTTTTGTTGTTCTGATGCAACATTTTCAGATGCTTTTAGAGCATCCCATTCGTCTTTTTCAATTGAAGCACGACGAATTCTATTGATACTCATTTTTGATAAACCTTGTGTAACTTCTTTAATATAATCGAGCATAAGATCATGTGCTCTATTAGCAATAACGGTGGCTGATAATTCTCTCATGTTTCGTGTGATGATGTTATTAGCATCGAAACATGCCGATGTAAAATGTGAAATTTTCTTTTCACATAATACTATATTCGTTTTAGCCTCCTGTGTATGTGTAATATTAACTATTTCTTTAGCCCAATGATCTTTACGTTTACCTAGATCATAGAATCGTTGCCATACTTGGGCTTCATAATGATCATGTACCCATTTATCATATGTTTCAATAGTATTCTTTGCATATGCACATACTTCATTAAAAGCATCTTTTAAATCGAATTTCAATTTATGATCATTAATTACTCGACCTTTGAGATAAGCGAGAATCTTAAAACCTTGTAAATATGTTTTAATTTTTCGTTTATCTTTAGTAGTCGATGATTGTTCGACATTATTTTGTTCCATTTCAGGATTAGATACGTTTATTTGATGCTGGTTATTTCCTCGCGTGTTTGTTTTATTACTTACAACATGTTCGTTATTTATCATAACTTCTGTTGTTGTTTTAACTTGTCTCTTCTTACTGACTACATTCATACGTGTGCCAGCATTTTGTTTTTCTTGTTTCGACAAGTTTCTTTGTTCATTATCTTTCATGGCTTCTATTTCATTATCAACCTCTGAAAGATCTTTATCAGTTTCTTTATCATCCGTTACAGAGAGAAAATTAAAACGATTATCACTTAATCGATCTAATTCTTTACTTTGTTCAAGTAAAAATGCTCGATTTCGCTGACGTCTTTCTCTTCTACGAAGTGTGTCAAGATGAGCTTTTTCAGGTGTTTTCTTTGTACCTGAACGTTTTAGTCCTGAAACTACATTGCTATTATGACCTTTCTTATTCACTTGAATGGGTGTCGTTATTGACATACCACGATATTCATGTGAAGTCATATTATTAGCTGCTGTTTCTTGTCCTTGCCAACGTTCCGGCATGAAATGAACTAACCGACGTGTCATTGGTGTTCTCCATTTTTCTGTTTGTTTCAGAATTCCACGTCGTGGTGTATGAGGAGTTACTGAATGACCTTGAATTTGGTTCTTTCCATTAAAAATAGATGAGCTTTTATTCATTGTCAAATTATCCATTGGATAATAAAATGGTGGTGGTTGTAAAGGCATTTGTTGCCCATATACGAATCCTCCCGACCAATTTTCTCGTTGCCAATTTAATGGCATATTGTTTGGATCAAAAAATGGTTGTTGGAAATAAAAATGTTGTTGTTGATAATCAAATTGATTGTGTTGTGGATGTTGATAACCAAATTGTAGAGCATTTAAATATGATGTTGATGGTTGGTTTTTGTTGTTGGTGGTGATGGTGGTGATGGTGGTGGTGATGATGTTGTAATGGCATCATCATTTCGGAAAACTGGATGACTATAAAGTGAAGGCTCAAACATATATGATTAAGACTAAAGCTTATCAAGATTTGGGTACCGTAAACCCGCTTGAACCTTTAGTTGAACGTACAAATAATTTTCCTTATGGTATATGGTATAACAAACATATTACACAAAAGCAATATGAGAAATTAAAGGTTAATAAAGAAGAGGCTGAATTAGCCCACCTTTATTTCTTACCAAAAGCACATAAACCAGGAACACCATTAAGACCTATAATGTCTGGTCTCAAATCTTCAACCATTGCCACATCGAAATGGTTAGATGGTTTATTAAGGCCTCTATTCGATCGATTAGCATCTGAAACAGCTATATCGAATGGGGCTCAATTAATAAAACAAGTTGAGAGATGGTCGGCTACATATCTTACACCAGTCACATCATTCATAACAATGGATGTTACTAATTTATATACAATGTTTCCTGAAGAAGGAGGAGTAACAGCCATAAAAAGATTAATTGAAACATCTGGTTTAAAACAAATCGATGGTGTTAAAAAAGAGATTATATTAGCTCTTACCAGATTTGTTATAACAAATAATTATTTCTATCTTGATGGGTCATATTATAAACGAATAAAAGGAGGCGCAATGGGCTCGCCACTCACCCTCACTATAGCAAATACATACATGTACTTTGTTGAACGTCCAATATTCAAATGGGCTCAAAGAACATGTTCATTATATTATAGATATATAGATGATTTATTTATCATGTCAAATGTACATGCAGATATATTAAAAGGTCTTGTAAAATTCTGGAATAGACTTGATAATAATATCGTATTTTCAGAATGCATAGAACATACTGCAGAGTACCTTGATGTTAAATTAGAGAACAGAGGAGGAAAATTGATATCTGAAGTTTACTATAAACCATCATACGAACCATATTTCCTCCCTTTCACAAGCATACATGCACAACATACAAAAAAAGAATATTCCTTATGTAGCTCTTGTTCGAGCAATAAGATATTCTTCGAGTTATGATACATTTAAACGTGAAGAAGCTTATATATATATGTCATTGCTTTTAAATAAATATCCAATACAATTTGTACTTAAACAATTTGAAAGAGTTTTACAAACATTTCAATGTGCGGTGCCAACAAAGAATTATTCTAAAATAAGAAGAATCTTTTTAAATGCCGCAGTCATTGATGAAAAGAACGCTGAAATTGACTTCGAGGTCAATATTTTTTGTCATTTCTCTTTTTCAAAAGGAATGCAAGATTTTCCGACCAGATTTCATCAACTCTGGAAACATTGTTTTTCAGATACAGCCATTTGTAATATAAAACCGATTGTAGGTTCTAAAAGATTAGATAATCTTCAAGATTATCTTGCAAAAAAGAAACCACGCAATTTATACTTACAATTAAATCTAAGTACTAGACACGCCACAAACAATGGTCCGTCGAAAAACTAACAAATGGTTTTGACTTCAACGGCATTTGGTGATGGATTATTTTCTCTTGTACCTTTCTTGTTATTGTTCCTTCTTAGGGTCCTTTAGACCCTTTGGAAATATTTTTATTTTAGCGTTGTTGTTGTAAAGATAAGTTTTTCTTGTAAAATAAGTTTTCTGTAGATTCTGATGACGTCAAGTTACAACTTGACAGAAACTAGTCAATAAAATTTTACAAGCGAAGAAAAACGTTATTTATCTCGAGAGAGTATATTGGCAAAAGATAGATTATATCTTTATAAGAATAATCGACTAAACCCTCCCCCCCCCCCCCCTCTACAATAAAAGACCCCGAGTCTTCTATTGTGGTCCAGCGAACTTTTGTAAATTTTGTAAATTTTTGCTAGTGAAAAAAAGAAATTTCTATGAAGTGACTCCTCCGGAGGGGTCTTCTAAAACGGGGGGTCTTCTAATATTGGGGGGGGGGGGCTTTTTTTATAAGGGGGGGGGGGGGGTTACTCTTTTTCATTCGGAGTAGAAGAAAACGTATTAAAAAAGATGATTTACAATTATGGTTATCAATCGCGACGTTCGTTATGATGGTCATTCTCATTTAAAAAAAAATGAAAATTATGTATGTTCTGTTCATTATGTTGTCATAGTATCTTACAAAAAAAAACTGATTGTTCTTTTTAATTCAAATACGATTCTTTTTTCATGGTGAATATCACATGATGTTAAATTATAATTTTTTTCTTTATGATATCTAGTGTTGTAAAAATAAGTGTTTTTTTTCATTATGAATATGTAATGATGTTATACTAAAGATTTTTCCTGATTAATATCTGATGATGTAAAAATAATTCTTTTTTTTGCTAATATATGAAGCATAAATCTACATTTATCTTACTTTTGATCATAAATATAAAAATGAAGATCAAATTTCATTCTGTTGTTCATGCTGAGCATATGAATATTCAATAAATAAATAAATTTTTCATTATATCATTATTATACTTTTCAGACTTCATAAAGCAATTATCAATATTTAAAAATATTCTACTGTTTGCCTATCGTGCTTCAAAATCATTGAAAAAATTAATAAAAACTTATCATAGGACTTGATACATAGCCATAGTAACGATGATGGATCTGTAAGATCCGAAAGCTACATTGATTATATAAAATATTTATTTATTAATAGAATGCTCATATGTTTCACATAAACAACAAAATGAAATATAATTTTTACTTTTAAGTAGCGGACAAAATTTTAAGGAATGTTTTGTATTTCATCGATTTTTCGTTATCTAAGAGCAGAAAAGTTTCAAAAACTATACCATTAGATGCTGAATTCAATGGGCTATATTTTATTATAAATAGTTTTGAAAACTATTAATTATAAGAATTAAATATTTATCATTATTAATTATTGTTAGATAACCATGCGAGAAAATTCTTGTAATAATTTTCGATTTTTGAAGTACAGCAAAGGATAGAGCATTGAAAACCAAACAAAACGGTGTATTTTTATTTGCTAACAATCGGTCGTAGTGGGATTTTTTAAGTACTCTTTAATAATTGAATTATTTTTATATTATTAACTGAGAAAGCTAAACTCTTCACGAGAAAGCTTTGAAAAGCAGTAAATTTTCTAAAGTACGATTTATTCTATCAAACGCGATCTGACAGGGTGTGGGTGTATGGGCGTGGATGGTTCTCTTTTGTTCTCCTCACCCACACCCACACCCACACCCACACCCACACACCCCACATCCACTCACTCACAGCCACACACCCCACACCCACCCACACTCACACCCACATCCCAAACCCACTCCACCCACACTCACACACACCCACACCCCACACCCACTCACACTCACACACACCCACACTCCACACCCATCCACACTCACACACACCCCACACCCACCCCCCCCCCCACTCACACCCACACCCACACTCACCCACACCCGCTTTTAGATGGCATATATGTTTTGATGCTTGCCCACCTCTGTTTAACAGTGAATAAAGTTTATCCTAGTTCACACACTGATCAACTCCATTATCAATGACTTTAAGGGCTTCAAAACTATAATCTTGCATTGAGCTCTCAAAGCTATGTAATCTTCAACATATTATTGTTTCTTTATAAATAATTGTTTTACTTTGAAGCAAATGGTTTAAGTTCTGAAGCGTAATGAACTGTCTTTCCTGCATATAGCTTTAGAAAAAGTCGTTCGCGCTTGCCTTATTATATCTATACGCTCTTATTGTTTGCATACAGGTGCAACAAAAAGCAAGAAAAGTAATTTTCTTATCTCTTTTTTTTTGCTTTATCAAGCACAATGAGTGTGCCTAAATATCTATGATAATCTTACTGTTTTTTTTTATTCTTTCATATATTTTTACAGGGAGCCTGTGAAATTTTTTTTTATACTTTTGCGTAGATTGAAATATAATAATACTTTTCAAGTCGGATAACAAATGAGTGAGTAACGACTAATAGGATTTATGAAAATCGACTATTGTCTGTTTCGAAAACGAACAGACGTCATCATTTTTGAATAACGTTGCATAGAAAGTACTTAAGATCTCCATTTTTTTACCATTCGAAAGTGAAGATATAGAAGTATCTCATTAGGGAAACGAATATAAACCTGAAACTTTTATTAAACTTCAGCATGTAGTTCAAACAGAATAGAGTATACCTTGGTGTTCTGAAGTAGTTTAAGTTGTGAGTATAAAATTTTTGAGGCTGTGACCGCTATTTTCAGAAATGATCGCCTAAAGTGTCAAAATGGAGTGACTATCCTTTTACCAGAATCTTTATAAGGTTAAATATAAACTGACACGTATGTTTTGAGGTTAAGAGAATCGGAATTCTAACCTTTTGCTCTGTAAAGTATCTGAAGACTAATGAAGTCAATAGCTTGAAAGATTTCCTGGAATTAATTGCCACTTTTTGAGCGATATCCAACTTGAGGTAGAGAAAGGTAATGATAGGATGAATATAGTTGCATCGCACAAAAAAGGTTGTGTTAACTAATGTAGTTCGAAAATAAATTCTGTTAAGAATGTATCCGGTGAAAGAACGGATTTAGTAAAGTACGACGTGCGGCTCTTTTATTTATAGTATTCCAGCGAAATCAACTATGTCAAGTCCATCTAATACAGTGCGTGTTCTTGTTGTTGGGTGCGGAAACATGGGCACAGCGCACGCCAAAGCTTATTCGCTGCTTCCTGGAGTCCAAATTTGTGGTTTAGTCTCTACCGGGAAAAGCAAAGACGTACTCAATGAACGATTAGGCGGTGGCTATGCCCTGTTTGACGATATTAATATTGCCTTGACGAGCGCAAAACCAGATGCCGTTTGTATTTCTACTTATCCTGATACGCATGAAGCCTTTGCTGTTATGGCCCTTGAACATAATTGCCATGTGTTTATTGAAAAGCCTCTCGCTGATACTGTAGAGGGTGCCAAGCGAGTAGTGGGAGCTGCCGAGAAGGCTGGAAAAAAAGTAGTAGTGGGCTACATCCTGCGCCACCATCCTTCCTGGAAAAAATTTGTAGAATTAGCTCAAGGATTAGGTAAACCGTTAGTGATGCGAATGAATTTGAATCAACAAAGCCATGGAAACATGTGGATTGTCCACAAAAATTTAATGAAAAGTCTTAGTCCAATTGTCGATTGTGGAGTGCATTACATAGACATAATGTGCCAGATGACTCGTTCAAAGCCTATTCAGGTTAACGCCATTGGGGCACGGTTAACTGATGATATACCGGAGGACAATTATAACTACGGTCAGTTGCAAATTCGATTCGCAGATGGTTCGGTAGGCTGGTACGAAGCCGGTTGGGGCCCAATGATGAGCGAAACCGCTTTCTTTGTGAAGGACGTAATTGGACCGAAAGGCTGTGTATCCATTGTCGCTAAGATCGCTGGAGCCGATGGAAAATCGAACAATGTGGATCTGCATACCAATGCTGAATCTCTACGAGTACATCATGCTGCGCTGAATGATGTCAATCAGTTCATGCAGGATGATACTTGGATTGACATGCAGGACGAGCCTGATCATCAGGAGTTGTGCAGCCGTGAACAACAGTATTTTCTGAAGGCTATTCAAGAAGATCTCAATTTGACAGACCACCTGCGAGATGCCGTCAGCAGCTTACAAATCGCTTTTGCCTGTGACGAGTCGGTGCGAAGTGGGTTGCCGGTTTATTTGTTGTGACTCTTCGGACGGTATCAACAATACTTAAAGTCTTGACTAGTAAAACTCTGACTAATAAATTGCAGAAGATCGGATAAAACCAGTCGACTATATTGAAGTATTCTCGCTCTCTTCAATATCCACATAAGAAACTCAAGTCGCGCATAAGGTTCTGGAGCAGTAAGTTGCTTTTATAGAAAATTATGAAGATGTAAATCAGGGGTGTAGGTGTGGGTGTGGGTGTGGTTGTGTGGGTATGGGTGGGTGTTGGCCTTAAGTTAAACCACACCCACACCCACACTCACAGCACACATCCACATCTACATCCACAGCACACATCCACGCCCACACCCACAGCACACATCCACACCCACCCACACTCACACCCACACCCTCTTCTGACATGTGTCATTAAAAATTTTAATGATCAGTTAAATGTACGCGGGCATCTCTTTTATAGGGTACTTTTTCTTGTTTTTTCTCAGAAGGGTATGGTAGTGCTAAAAGTCAGTACTGGATAACTTTTTATATGAAGGGTATTAAACCTTAAAATATTGAGGTTGGTGGTTTTAGACGTCGACGCATTGAATGAGAGAAAAAATTTAAAAAAAAATTTATCGAGTGCCTCGTACATTAGAATTATGCTCGATGGGCTCATTGAGGCTACCTTAATAATTAAATGGAGTTAAATTATGGAAAATAACAATGTGAAGAATGAATAAAGTTATGATTTGTTATAGATTCGAATCAACTGTTATCAAAAAAGAAATAATAATAAAGGTTTTTGAATGATTATTCACGGTTAATATAACAATAATGTAAAGATAAAGGCGGTAAATGAAATTGCTGAAGTAATTAGCATCAATTACAAAAAATTACGGAATTCAAAAGAATTTTTATCCATGAATAAG